ACTAAATCTGCTCATCCATCTTAATGTGCCAATCCTAATATGTATACGAGTTATATTTAGTAAAAATGAATCTTCAAAACTTCATTTCTCTCGGCTCTAATTATCTGGGGTAAGTAGTATTTATGATTATTCTTTTTAAACCCCTCACAATGTCGCAGTTCTCCATCAGAAATAGATTAATTAAGTTACTCCGATTGCCACAGAAATATTTCAGCAAAATTAGTTTTGTTGACTTAGATCTATATACAAAAGAAATATGGAACACTAAATTTGTATTAAAAGGTTCCAAAATAATGATTTTGTAAAATATAGCTAAAATTGATTTTTTGCTAAAATTTCTTCCAAATTTGTTTGCATGAAATATAATTCAACATGATAGCAAAAACCAGATAGAATTAATAAGATTTCTGTCACACAAGTCATGTAATTTCCAATCAGCTGGATAGTTCCGAACCCCATACAGATATAAAATAAAATGTATATTTTTGACTTGAATGAAGCATTATTAAATAGTTTTTTTTTGTAAATTTTTAATTTGATTGTCATGATAAATACCAACTTTCAAGGCAGGAATAAAGCGAAACACGAGGAAAACTGATGCCGCGTTTTCGCTGGTAACTCTTTGTCACCTTTGTCACTGGTAGCTGAGTTGTTTGTCACCAGTAAAAATCTTGACGTCGGAAGTCGCAACTCGGACTTGCGAACTTCAGTTTGGTGGTGGCACGACAATACTTGCTTTCAAACAACTTACATTGAACAGCGTGATGGTAGGGAGTATCCCGGCTTCGGCAATTGAGAAATAAAACTTAAACTCATGTACGCATGGTGTCAGGAATAAGCACTATGCGAAGGTGAAAATTTAATTAATAAAAAAAGTGAATTGTAATGTTAAATCATGCAAATTTAGTTGGTAGATGAATCGGTAAATATGTCACACTGTTTGTCAAGTGTTGTGCGATGCATGCACAAAATTCCATTGCAGAGGCGCTTTCCACACACCAAAAATCTGAATCAATTTTCAGCAAAATGGAATGCTGATCTGCTTCCAGCAAAAGTAGTTTTTACTGACTAACCAGCACGGTGATACGGTAAAATTTGGTCAAGGGAAAACGCGTGTAAATCGGTGAAATCGTTTATTTAAAAAATCAAATTAAATTTCTTTTTCAAGTTCAATTAGTATAAAATTCAGGAAAAATATTCAGTTAGGCTTCCGCTTTTCCAAATCCGTATTGCCGGGCCTTACGCTTGACCCCTGCCATCAGATTTTGTACAGCCACCTTGTCCACCTTCTTCGCCGCAGAAAGCCAGTTTGCCTTGAACTGCTGCTCGCCCTTAGCAGTTTTTTTGGTCTTCTTTAGGTTCCGCTTGACAATAGCCCAGTATTTCTCAATTGGGCGGAGCTCTGGCGTGTTGGGAGGGTTCTTGTCCTTGGGAACCACCTGCACGTTGTTGGCGGCGTACCACTCCATGACATTTTTACCGTAATGGCAAGATGCCAAATCCGGCCAAAACAGTACGGAACAACCGTGTTTCTTCAGGAAAGGCAGCAGACGTTTATTCAAACACTCTTTCACGTAAATTTCTTGGTTGACAGTCCCGGAAGCTATGAAAATGCTGCTTTTCAAGCCACAGGTACAGATGGCTTGCCAAACCAGATATTTCTTTGCGAACTTTGACAGTTTCATGTGCTTGAAAACATCTGCTACCTTTCCCCTTCCTTTTGCCGTATAAAACTCCTGTCCCGGAAGCTGCTGGTAGTCGGCTTTGACATAGGTTTCGTCATCCATTACCACGCAGTCAAACTTCGTCAGCATCGTCGTGTACAGCCTCCGGGATCGCGCTTTGGCCGTCGTATTTTGTTTATCATCGCGATTTGGAGTCACTACCTTCTTGTAAGTCGATAGTCCGGCTCGTTTTTTTGGCTCGATGCACGGTTGTAGACGATACACCCAGCTTATTTGCGGCATCTCGGAGAGAGAGGTTAGGGTTTCGCTTGAAACTACCGGCAACTCTCTTTGTCGTCTCAGCGGCTTCCGGTTTTCGATTTCCCCCCGATCCAGACTTCCTGGCTGTCGACAAACGTTCCCCAAACACTTTAATTACATTTGTAACGGTTGATTTGGCAACTTTAAGCGATTTTGCCAACTTTGCGTGCGAGTAGCTCGGATTTTCGCGATGCGCGAGCAAAATTTTGATACGCTGCTCTTCTTGCTTGGACGGCATTTTGACAACTGAAGAGTGAATTCCAAAATCAAAATAGGAGCAACATTCTACACACACACCTTCAAAATGAGGGGTGTTCAGGTTTTTTAAATGCAAAATTGAAAGAAATACGTCAAGTTGATATTGACCAAATTTTGACCGTATCACCCTTTAATCATGTTTGCTGGAAGCTCAGTAATATGCATGATCTGTCAAATATGGGATCATTTTTATGTTCCACATTTCCGCGGCATTTGTTTTAGAGTCAAGAAGTGCTTATTTAAGCATTATATTGCTCATGCTTGTGAAATTCACTACGAACCAGTAAGTAAGTGCATTAACATTATCACTACGTGAATTTAACTAGGTTTATTATTTTGATTTCAGCTAAAATCCTTGCGAGAAGTGCTTCTGAACCTTTGAGATGTGTTATTGCAATGTGAAAAAACACATGGATTATTGTTCTATCAAGCAATTAAGATAAAAATTGGATTCACCAAATAAACGAACTATACATATACTTAGAATATATTTATATTTAACTCTTAGTTTGACACAATCTATAGAAAAACAAATTAAATTGCTGGTGATTCAGTAAAATATTTATTATGCGTTTTGCTGAACAAACCAGTGAAATATTGCTGGTTTTGCAGCAATGAGCTGTCAAATGAGCTGCAAGATGTTTTGCTGGTCGTTCAGTAATAATATTTTGCTGGAAGGATTGCTGGATTTCCAGCTCGGCAAAATCCAGCAAAATTTTGCTGGTTTATGGCAATAAAAAATGGGTGTGCAGCCCTGAAACTCAAGAACGTTATTTAACCCCCTGATGATAGGTAATGGCATTCATTCTATAGCTGCGAGTCAACAAAATATTTTAGTTTAAAATCGATTTCTCTGCGTGCAGCTTTGCTGAATTATTCATCAACTTTTCACATGCGCTTGTACCAAGCATCAATACAAAACTAACGATTTTAAATTGGCTCGTTACTTGATTAGCCCATTGGTCCTAAGTACGTCTATAAGTGTACCCCATTTCGTGCTAGAATCTGTCAACGTTTGTGTTTGTTTTGATTCGCCTTATACATTTGACAGGGTTTAATAAGGGGTTCGTGGATTTTCCTATGCTTCGAGTGACACTTCAATTAGCTTGACACTTACGTTGATTTTAGTGTATTCGAAGTTCATTTGACATTTATGTGACAGCATTTAGATCTAACAGAAGTCACGAGGAAATGATTTTAGAGGATGCTTAAATGTTTCTGTGATTTATCACGTAGGATAACCACCAAGGACACCAAGACGATGTAATGGAAACTTTCACTTTTATAACGTTTCTACTCTCGTTTTGCACTTTTGAGGTAGTGAAGATAATTTATGTTTAGGTTGCAACAAACAATATTGATAAACTCAGTGTCCCCCGCAAATACGACAAAATCAAGGCCGGATTATTAGATATTGACTCGATAATTTGACTGCCAAGTCCATACTAAGAACTAAAGCAGACAGAAAAGTGCACAGCATAAATGCGAAATTTGACAGCACAATGTATTCAAATACACATTTAACTTTTTTATCCGACACTTGCTGGACTAACAACATCCACATTATAACGTTTCGGATTAGAAGGGAGATATTACATTATACAGTGTTTAAAAACTATGCGAAACAGTGTTCAAAAACTACATCAGGTGACAGCATACAGTTTCTGGATTCCCGATTTAACAAAGGTATTTCCGACATTATCCCGGAGATTCTCGGTTGCCGTCTTTTTCACGTATTTACCGAATGGGTGGCCATCCTGACTATAAAATGGTGTGAATTAATTGCCGAGTTAAATGTAACTCGTGGTTAGAAATGACAAATAGAAAGTTATCGAATAACCCACGCTAAACTCATTACATGTACCCAACCGCACAATATATCACGCGCGATCGGGGTTATCCCGCCGGGTAACAAACGAAAATCAAGAACAATGATAAAAAGATTATAAGAAGGATTTTCAACTGGAACAAACTCACCAATTCATCCAATGGTGCGGACCCACCACTAGCCCGATTCAGAAATGCCAGAAAACGAACCGCAACTCGTCCAACAAACACGATATGTATATAACCACCGACAAACGGACATGAATGATCACCACTCCGCGCAAATACTCCTCCATCCGATTACTGCTGCACAATAGATATGATTATTTTTGTTCCATACCATTCTCACTCTGGCACCTTCATCAACAATTCGGATCAATCACTCCGCTCAGCCAAAGGCCAAGCTCAAACACTGCATCATCGAATGTGTTTTTGGCATCCATTCTTTTACACCACACCCTGTTAACAAAGCCGTGGCTCATCGTAAAAACCGAACAATAAATCAGCGCGGTCGAGGTCATATCGCGTAATAAAGGTAAATGTGAGATCACACTATGAACCATTGCATCAAGATGAAAAAAAAGTATTTCAGCTGCAAATAGGGGGCCTAGGTGTGAAAGATCGAGAGAAATATACAAGACGTACACAATGTTTCATACAAGACGCCGATTTCTCCGATTGTCTATACGATAATAAACCTCGCACGCTTCAAGATGTGAGACTGCTTGGGGACGCTTACCTCACAATTCTCCGCGGTATTATAGGTAAAAGATTTTTGTCGTTATACCTACCTAGCTGCAAAAGTCATTTGTCTCCATTATGCTAGGTTTCTGATTCTATAGATGCCTCTATTGACGTTAGCCTGCAGCAAAGCGAATGACAATGGAACTATTTCGGATGAGAAATTTCCACGCTTGTTTTTCTTACACTGAATTGTTTTTTTAATTAACTGTATCATTTTTCTGTGTTTTCCTGATATCGGGTGTTTTGACGACGTAATAAAATCTACAACACAACTGAAACCGTAAACAGTAGACAATATTGCTTTGCGGGAACCAAACGCAAAAATTGGGAGAACTTCGTGCGTACATTGTACAACCCGTGTTTAGCTCACGCTGAATTTGCTTACGAGTAATGGGCTATTGTTGTAAGTGTAGTAGCTGTTGTGTTTCATAAAACTACGGTTTGTCTAAAAACTAACCTGAAGTGAAACGTCAAGCCATGCCGACGCGCAGACCATTCGTGTCTGTGGTTGATTAGTTTCGCTATACGTCAGTCTTTTCTTTGCATCTACGCGGGATTACGATAGGCGGGGTTGTTTAGAGTTAAGCATCAAGCATGGGTATAGTCACTTCAAATTATTTTTTCGTTTCTTATATGTAGAATCTTAGGCTAGAAATTTTAGGGCATTGTAGCTTCAATTCGGCTTCCTTCCACATGGGGCTAAGGAAAGGTTGCCTTTGATTGTTTAAAAGGATATTCCATCTACAAGCGGAACGGTTTTAGTGTTCGATCTGACATGCAATGGTACAATACTCTGTGCCAAGCTAACACGAAAAAGGTTGAGAGAGTTCCATAATAGGATAGACATGTTTTTTTTTTAAATATATAAAAGTGACAAACAATCTTTAACTAAATACCAATAATCACCAATATATAATAATTTTACACATAAACATAATAACTACCTTTATTTTGTTGGTTACTCACTCACGTCCAGCAGTGGCGTTGTATTAGTCTTGGTCCGGTTCTAGGTCTGGCTTTTGTCGGAGTTTTTCCTGACACAGATCCAGTGCGGACTTAAAAGCTTCGGCCAAATCTTCGTTCTTGAATCGGGCCGCAAGTTGCTCCAGCTGGGGCCCTTCTTCGGCATGGTTCATGGTGGCCCAGACGAATGCCTTGCCTGAGTTGTTCATCGGTGTCACGTGCAAATCGCTGGTGATTACATGATTCAGCACTAGCTTGAAAATTTGCTCACGTCTCATCAGTAACCGATAGCTGTTACGACCTGGGTGATGCAAGATTTTCAGTTCTCCAACACCTACAAAGAAAAATCATTGAATAAATGTTGCTTCTTGCTCTAACGAGTCTATCGATTACCTCGTTCCTTCCATTCCTTGGTATCCGAATCGTATCGGTACAGTTTGGCTCTCTCCCCAAACAGCTTGATCTCTTCCTCTTCTCCCGTTCGGACTTCGATTTCATCTGGCAACTGAATGATAGGTTCATAGTGAGGGTCATAATTTTCATCTACACCTGCCGCTTCATCTTTATCGTCATTTTCGCCGGTACTGTGGTTCTTGCTCTTGTTTGCCATTCTGGTGAAGATATCTTCCTTTACCGTCAAACCGACGAAACCACTGTTGGATGCACTCTGTTTATTAAAGAAGCTTCCAGTCGTTCCAGAAGCAAGTGTTGCGAAACTAACACCCGCTTCCGACTTCATTAACAGGTCCGGTTCCGCACTCGATTTTTTGTCAAATTCTTTGGCAGCATCGGCGAAGCTGAAGCCACTAGTAACAGAAGCGAAAGGTGTCGACCCTCCCCCGCTGACTGACGTTAAATTTGTGGTAAGGGTTGTCGGTATGCTGGTCGCACTTCCAAATCCCCCAAACATGTTGGAGCTTCCTCCAAACACAGGCGTACTAGTTACGGTATTAGCCGGGATTGCCGAAGGCTCCGACTTTGCGACCGCTACAGAGCTTGGCGTTCCTCCGAAAATACTATTGGTGCTGGAGGTGTTTTGTCCGAAACCGGAACCGAAGAGTTGCACTCCTTCTGCCGACTTGTTCAGGCCACCGCCGGGAGCAGCTGAACCGAAGACCGAGGGCTGCAGTAGTGGAGACTTTGACTTGTCAGCTTGCGAAGGCAGAAGCGCTGTTTTAGGTGTGGTATTGAGAGAAGACGAGAAAATGGAACCGGTTGCTGGAGAGCTTGAGCTAGTTCCGGATGCGAGTGCTGCGGAATGGAGAAGGAATTATTGTTATTGGAATGGTTCTGAACATTTTTTGCTCTTGATGCGAAGAAATTTTGAAAAACTCGTGGACATCTTTTTTTCCATTACCCTGTTGGGAAGGTAAAGCAGCAGGTGTCGTCTAATATTTTATGACGGAATCAAAAACAAATGTTTCCTATGCATTTTTTTTTTGCAAAATGTAGATTATACTTTTAGTAAACAAATAGGGGAATTTACGTATTCTCGGCAACCTAAGCAGCGACCTTCTTTCTATAGCCTTTTTCTCTATGGAACGCACACATATGCAGTATTGGTTTGTTTACAATCTTTTGCTGCCAGCTGCTCTAACTATTTCAGTCGAAAGAATTGTCAAAAACTGTTTTGAAACGCTTTTACAAAGCTCCAATCTTCTCTAGTGAGAGCGAGTATTGTCGGCAACCAGTTTTTCTTCGGCAACCGTTTCATTTGAACTGCATGTAAATCTACTGTTCTATTATCGGCAACTCGAAATCAGCTACAATTTGTAGTGCGTGTGTTTCATTTCAAGAAAACCTTGCTAGATTGCTTTTTCTCAGTGGTAAAAATATAGTCAAATTGAAGCTGAAAGCATAAAGAATCGTTTGCATGCATTCAGCGAAGTGTTTTCGTAAGAAAATCCAGTGAAAATAGTGTTTCAATTTGGGTTGCCGAAAATAGTCTGTCATGCCGAAGCCGTCATTTCCCCTATCACATTTAAAATTGTAAAAAAATACTTTTTTTTAGACACAACATTAATTCTAGTTTACCTGTCTTGATCTTGACAAATGGTCGCGAACTACGACTCGTAAACTTTTTTGGCGTAGGATTACGTCTTTCGGCGACATATTGGGGTGCAATTTCAAACAACCAAAATCGACCGCGTTACGAAAAGTGGTGAGGTTTTGATCACTTATAACTCTGTCAATAGCGGTTGGATTTTAATTCTAAGCCAATCGATTGGAAATTTTTCTATGAAACTGCTATAGGATTTAATTAAAACGAATTTATTTGCTTCCGTATTCGATCGTAGCTAGCTTAACAATGTCTGCCTCGAGTGGGAGTCGCCTTCTCCGCGCTATTACTCAGACACTGAACTGAAATGTGTGAGGGGTATGAAAATGGAAATGAGGGGTAATAACTCCGTAATAACTACACTGAATGTTTTCTCTTCTACAGCTCGGCCATCCTGCGGACTTTTCTCCCACTGATACCTAGTCCCTATGCTGCGTTACAAATGATTGTTTGATCTTCGTTTTCCAGTCGTTATGCTATTCAAATTCATGTTCGTCCTGAAATAGATAAAAGCTAGCGTTAATCCTCTCTATCACTGCTTTCGGATTCAACTTCTTGATCTACATCCGAACTACTACCAGCTTCATGTGACTTATACATTCGCATATTCTGTGGATCAAAAATTCCCTCAAAATGTTTCGTCGACACTTGATACCCATCTATATCTGACACAATATATCTATTCTGATCAAGAACCTTTTTCACTCGGTAAGGCCCTTTGAATCGAGGCCTTAGCTTTTTGTTTTCCCCGACTACTGGTACACTTCTAATAACTACCAAATCGTTCTCCTTGAATGTAGTCCTGAGACTTCTACTATCATGACACTTCTTATTGTAATCCTGCACTTTTCGTATGCATTCGGCTGCCATGTTCCGTGCATCTTCCAGATTTAGCCGATCAGATGACTCCAGCAGGTCCTGGAAGTATTGAACGGCATCATGGTTAATTTTTCGGTGTTGTTGCACTCCATACAGCAGCTTAGATGGAATCGACCCAGTTCCTCGGTTGATCGAATTGTTGAGAAAATACTCAACATCGATGAGCACAGTATCCCAGGACGTCTTAGAGGACTCAGCAAGTTTAGCCAATACTGGAAGCAGTGTACGATTGTACCTCTCGACTTGGCCATTTGCCTGAGGACATGCTGTTGCTACAAGAGTATGCGAAAATCCATGGGAATCCGCAAATTGCTTGAACGGTTGCGATATAAAACAAGATCCACGGTCAGTGATAAGGATTCTTGGAGTACTGTAGTTGATGAAATATGATTTCAGATGTTTCATTACTTCTTTGGAGTTGGTTGTTTTTGTTGGGTACAGCTTCACGAACTTTGTGAATCCATCTACCACCGCCAAAATATACTTGTTCTTCCCTTTCGTCATCTCTAGCGGACCCAAATGATCTGCATGTAAAGTCCAAAATGGTCGGTTTCCTTTGGCGATGTTTTGAAGCACACCATCATTTTTCCTTGCCTTTGGATTAAAAAGTATACAGGATATACACTTTTTACAGTGTTCAGCTATTTTTTCTGACATATTTGGAAACCAGAATGCTCGCTTGATCAATTCTATAACTTTATCCTTTCCGAAATGCCTCATTGAGTCGTGGAATCGGTATACAACAGAATCTTCCATTGCTTGAGGCACGTACAATAATAAACGGTTTTTCTCCTTTCTGAACAACAAGTTATCTCGAACCTCGTATTTTTTTAAGTCTCCATTTGTTGCTGATGCTTTCAATGCGCAGATGACAGGATCTTGAATTTGAGCCACGTACAGAGCGTTCTCGAACGAATTATCTTCATTGATGTCCTTGGCCAAGTCAACTGTGTGAACGTACATCCTTGAAAGGGCGTCGACGTGCTGCATTTGCTCCCCAGAACGATGCACGACCTTGTAGTTGAACTCCTCGAGGAACATGGCCCATCTTGCAATTTTCGAGTTGATATCCTTTTTCTCCAGCGTTTGCTTCAGGGATTTACAGTCAGTTACTATTTCAAACGGAATACCAGTAACATAGTGTCTAAAGCGCTTCAACGCATATACTATTGCCAGGGTTTCTAGCTCAAAAGAATGGAGCTTGCTTTCTGCGGAATTTGTTTTACGACTGAAAAACATGACCGGGTGATATTTATTGTCAATCCGTTGACGCTGCATCAAAATACCTTCAAATCCTTGCGATGACGCATCTGTATGCAACTGCGTATCAGTATTTGGAGAATATATGCAAAGCACAGGACGCGATATCAACAACTTTTTAAGCTTTTCTACAGCTTCCAACTGCGGTGCTCCCAAAAAATACTCAGCATCTTTCTTAAGAAGATCGTAAAGAGGACTAGCTATCGTAGAAAATCCCTTGATAAATTTCCTGAAATAGCTCATCAATCCCAGAAAACGTTGCAAGCTCTTCGCGTTTTGAGGAACTGGTATTTCGCGAACTGCTTCCACATGCCGGTCACAAGGGCTGATTTGATTGAAGCTGATGCTGTATCCCAGGAAGTCAACACGAGTGACTAGAAAACGGCTTTTCTCCAGATTTAGTTTCACTCCGTTATCTTTGAGAGTAGCAAAAACTCGACGCAAAAGATCTAGATGCTGATGCACAGTTTTTGAGCAGAGCATTATGTCGTCCATAAACACTATCAGTTCTCCAGACTTGACAAAAGGATGCAGAATCTTAGCCACATAGCGCGAAAAAATGGCGGGTGCGTTTGTGTACCCAAATGGAAGCTTGTTGAACTCAAATTGTCCGTTTTCCGTGACAAAAGAAGTGTACTTTTTTGAATCCTCGGTAAGGTCCACATGGAAAAACCCATTTTTCATATCCATTGTAGAGAAATACTTCATTCCATCTAACTTTGCAATCTGGTCCTCGATTACCGGAAGAGGAAAATGATCTCGTTCAACTAACCGATTCAAAGATTTGAAATCGACGCACAGTCGGAAAGATCCGTTTTTCTTTTTCACCAGAACAATCCTACTGGAATAAGGAGAATCGCTTTCACGTATAATGCCTTTATCTAGCCATTCAGCCACTATTGACTCTACCACCTTTCGCTCTGCGTGACACAACCGTTGTGGTGAGACGTTATAATATTTCTCTTCCCGCAAACGAATTGATGCTGTAAATTGTACCGCTTTTCCGTAGTCCGACTTCTTGATGCAATAATTGGTCTGATAAGCACGCAAAATTTCTTCACGGAACTTCACAGTCTCCTCGTTATCACCAACAATCAAGCAAAGTTCTTCTTCGACCGACTGGTTTAGAGCATTCTCTCCGAATGCTGTGTTCATTAGTACACTGTCGTATTCACTTTTAGGTTTTTCTTCTGATTTCGAGAATCGTATAACCGATAGATTGTTTCGTTTCATAAAATCTCGACCTAGAATTGCACTAACTTCCATTGTCTCATCAGGAACAACATAGAAAGAAACGTCATAAACTAAGGACCTGAATAGAACTATTTTTGTTTTTAAACAACCTTCAACACATATTTTCGAACTATTCACACCTATTATTTCTCGATTGTTTGCTACCTCTTTATCCAATCTAACTAGAGCTGCCAGTGCTGAATGCTTAATTAGGCTTACCGCACTGCCGGAATCCACCAACAGCTTGAGTTGCTTGAGACGTCGTCCAATAATCGCTTCTCCTTCCATCATTCCGTCTTCATCCGTATCGATTCCTTCGTTTGCCGCCGGCTGATCCTGATTAGATGCAGAAATCATAGCGACTCTCAGCTTCGGTGCAAAAGTTGACGGCTTCTTGTCTGGACAAATATCCTCCTGATGACCAACCTTGGAGCAGCAAGCACACCGAGAACGACGTTGCGGTTTGGGGCAGTTAACGGATTTGTGCCCTGGCGCGTTGCAATTGAAACAAACCCAATCACTAGACCCAGCTTGTGATGTTACTGGTACCAGTGCTGCTGTTCTTCCGTCGTTACCTGTCGGACGGCTTGCTTGCGAAATGCGAGCCACGTTGTAGTTTGGTTTCTTCATCCGGAAATTTGCTTCGCACCACTTCAAACGCTTCAAGAGATCCATAACTGTTCGGTATTCCGCCGATACTATTTGCTCGTAAAGCTTATCACGAGACAGCCCACTAATGATGTATTTGATGAGCGAAGACTGTGACATTTGTCCTTTACTCGCAATGTTCTGCATTCTGAAGACGTAACCTTCGTAGCTTTCCTGGTTGCTTTTCATGGCTGCCATCAGCTCTCGATGGATATCGGCATCATCGACGTAGTTTGGGAACGTTGCAGCTATCATCTCTTTGAAATCATGGAAATTGAAAATGTCCTCCTCCACAGAGTTGTACCACAATTTTGCTGATCCAGTCAACCTTGTGGTAGCGTACAAAAGAGCAGCTGCATCGGTCCAATTGTAGAGTGTTTTGTAATGATCCAGTTTGCGTAGCCATGACGTAACAGCATTTTCGCCATTGAATTCGCTTATCAAAGCCTTCACTTCCTCCGGATGGAGCGGACGGGATTGAGCTTGCGGTGCGTTCCTCATCAGCCAGTTTTCTTCTTCCTCCTGTGAATCGTATTCTCGTTCGTCGACGCCATGTCGTCGTCTTCGTCTGGGCATCCTTCTCAGTCAGGTTTTTACGTCTTAGACAGAGAATTAGCCTCCTCGTAACCGCACACCGTTTAAAATCACGTAATCCAACTAGCGAATCGAAGCTCAACGTATAAAGCAGCGGTGTATCCCACTTCTGAAATTTCTATAGGATTTAATTAAAACGAATTTATTTGCTTCCGTATTCGATCGTAGCTAGCTTAACAATGTCTGCCTCGAGTGGGAGTCGCCTTCTCCGCGCTATTACTCAGACACTGAACTGAAATGTGTGAGGGGTATGAAAATGGAAATGAGGGGTAATAACTCCGTAATAACTACACTGAATGTTTTCTCTTCTACACTGCTAAATTGAATACTTATCAAGTTTCAATAGGTCACTATTAAAAATTACACAAATGTCCAAATGTTGCAATGGTGATCAAAATTATCACCGATTGCCTGCAAAAATTGGTTTCCCTAACACAGTTGCCAAATATTGATACCGAGCACGTAATCCTACGTCAAATCTACGATCGTGTGTTGGATACAACCTCTTACTTTTATAGGTAGGGGACCCATAACTCGTAAACAGTTTCAGGTGATAATCAGTTTAATTTTATGAGTGTTCCTCCATGAATTATCAATTTATGTTTATTTATCACATTGCCATTGAAAATACGGCGTTTATATCTTTTCTTGAGATTTAATGTGATAAATTATGAAAAAATTACGCAAAAAAAGTTTATCCACCCCCAAACGGATAATACGATTTAAGTGTGTTTTACAGAGTTTTAGTGTGTATTCTGCTACTTTCTCAAATGTAAACATTGTGTCTAGCTGTCATTTAGTGCTCTTGAAATTTTCGAGCTCAAAATTGCAGTTTCGTTTTCAAAATTGGAAGTTATTTGTTGCAAAATGCCCAAAAAAGCACAAATCTCGATCAGTATCCGAAATTTGATTATTGAACATCACAAAACTGGCAAAAGCTACCGTGATATTGCCGATATTGTCTAGCTTCACGAAGATACGGTCGCTAGAATTGTGCAGATGTACAAAAAGCGTGGTTCTATTTCACCAGCTAAGCGATCGGGGCGTCCTTCAAAGACAACTGGCCGAATTAACAGAGCTATCGTGAAGAAGGCGGAGCTAGACCGGGGACTATCAGCTCCGAAAATTGCGAAACAGATTGAAAGCGAGTTTTCCATCAGTTCCATCAGAGTTTGACATCACAATCCGTATGAAATCGTCTTCATAAGAAAGGTCTTAAGGGCAGAGTAGCTCTTAAGAAGCCATGGCTGTCCACAAAAAATATCAAAAAAAGACGGAATTGGGCCCAGGACCACATTTCATGGACCAGTGATGACTGGAATAAGGTGATCTGGTCAGACGAGATGAAAGTAATGCTATTTGGGTCTGATGGTATCAATGTTGAGTACTTGGCACTGATGAAGTCTGCAAGTAGTAAACGAAATACGCGTATCTGTAAAAAGTGTTACAAGTTCCCCGGTAGCGGTAGAGCAGAACTACCATACCCACGCTCTTTTGCGTGCTGTTTTCACGGGAATCTTTTCACTTCTGCCTTTCGCTGTGTTCGACGGATCCGGTACAGGCTGATGTGGATGTGTGTGTGCGTGCGGAAGTACAGTCAGCAGACTCAATGCTGAATCATTATTTACCAAAACAATTTGCGTTGCTCGTTCTTTGTCGAGCGATGTGACCTCTGCAGCATCTTTTGTTTATGCACGTTCGAATGTGTTTAAGCAGCAATTGTGTAAAATTACTCGTTTTTACCAAACACAGGAAAAAATTACAACTCAAATCTAAAACGTAACAAAAGATAAGCAATTATAACGGAATTTAAAGGAAATAAACCAACCCACTCAAAGCTCTTCATAAAGGGATTCCGTTAAGAGGTTCGACAAATTTAAAGGATAAATTGATAAATCATGGAGGAAAACTCAAAAAAAAAATGTAAATTGGTAGGGGGTGGATAAACTTTTTTTGCATACTGTAAGTACATCTATAAGCGGATCCCACTATCGATCTGTCAAAGTTTGGGTTTGTTTTGATTCGTCTTATTAAATTTGACAGAATTAGGGATTCGTAAATTTTTACGTTTCGAAGGGTGCTTCAATTAGCTTGGGACCGAAGGTCTGGTACTTCCTGAGCCAAAATATTAAGCATTTTTCTTCAGTGTCTTTGTGTTAGTTTATGGTAATATCGTATAATATAAATTATTATAAATTCCGTTATAATTGCTTATCTTTTGACAGATACGCGTATTTCGTCTACTACTTGCAGACTTCATCAGTGTAAAGTACTCAACACATTTTCAATGCTATAGCTCACCCATGAAACTAAGAATGGTGTTCGTATGCAGCATTATAGAAAGTTCTGTCCAAAATGAAGTCTTACAAAAATTACAAAACATCATTTTGTGCTGATGTGTCGAAAATCGAAATTATTAATAATAATTTGGTATAAGCCAAACAGTGGATTTATAGGAGTTTGTACACCGTATTGCAAGTTTATAACATTGCGCTGCATTGTCTTGTCCCGCCGTGGGTGTAGAGAATGACAATAACGGGATCAGAATGCGTTTAGTATGCATTTTTGGGGTGCAACCGATGTGCAATATATGTGATTTTTGGCGATGCTTGTACCGTCAAAATGGCACCCTAAACGGGTTCAGAAGTACTTGTAACCATTCTAGCATGCTGCATTGTCTTGTCCCGTGGGTGTAGAGAATGACAATAACGGGATCAGTCAGTCCCATCTGTAAAAACATGGAAATGAGAAAACATTTACAAGTTTTCTGATTTGACACTTATTTTAGAGGGATAAATTTAAAAATAAACGTACAATGTGATAGAATGCACCTATAAAATGCAAAATATTGGATAAAATTTCGAGAATTTTTTATTTTATGGCCAAAATCTGAGTGGGACTGACTTGCGATTACCTGTAATGTCAATGAGAAAAATAACCGCAAGTCAGTCACAATTCCATGACGATGCTGCATTAGTTTAGCACAGTATTGAACAGTAGTAAGATACCATGGTCCCATAGAACGCTGGTTCCAGAACAATGACCAATGCACTAAGTTGCTTTACTAAAGCTCTGATGTGCTTTCCAACTCTGCATTATCAGTTACGTGGACGTGAAGACTTTTTAGAGTGCAGTAAAAAATATGCGTAGTCTAAAAACAGTGAAGGGATGGAACTCGACGCTTCAAATTTTAAAAAGATTCGTAACTGAAAATATGTCACCTGGGTTTTTGTGTCACGGACTTACCTCCGAAGATGGACTTTGGGGTGCTCTGGTCTGAAACTGCTCCACCAAAAACCGTGGCAGCCGACGACTGCTTTTCGGCACTCACAAAACTACTGATGGTGAAAGGCAATTTGCTCTCCGATTTCGTTGCCGTCGTCGTCGTCGCCGTTGATAGCGATCCGAACAGATTACTCACTTTATGGTCTTCATTCGTCTCGGAAAAGCTCACTTTCTTAGGTGACCGGGTCAAATTCCTAGCAATTGGTAACTGCTTGACGTCGCTCACATTCACGGGCAGGGGTTTATCGTCCTGAAGATCTTTGTTCACCGTAAGATCATAGGTCGGAAATACGAAGCTGTCCGGATCACAGCCACGGCAACCGGTGCAAGTTTGCTTGGGGCTGTCGAAAAAGTTGGCCGGAAGCTTGAGCTTGTCGATAAGTTCCTTATCATCCAGCGATATATCGCTCAATTGGGAATAGTTGAGGTTGCTGGTTGGCGTTGAAATGGTAGAATCCAGTGTGGCGTTCAGTTTACTGTCCGTCTTGGCGGGCGATGACGATAGCTTGATCGCATCACCGGAAAGAGATAGATCAATAGCGTTCTTAAAATCGCTCGCAATTTCTGCATTCTTGAAACGCAGCGAGAAGTTCATCACTTCTAATGCACCTTCGGAAAAATCATTCGCCACGAATTGCCATGATTTGTCGTCCTTCTTTTGATACAGGACATCGTCATCCAGTACATGGTTCAGGCAGATCTTGAGGACTTGATCACGACGCATCACCACTCTGCGCGGAGAAGAGATTTAAATTTTAAATGAATCGAAAATGCAGTCTAGTAGAGAAACGGTTTTCTTACCTCAGTTTGCCATTGCTTTTGTGCCTCAATATTTTAACATCACCGATTCCGCGTTCTTTCCATTCCTTGTCCACAAAGCGATATAGTTTTGCCCTATGCGAATACAGAACCTCCTCGTCCTCCTCGCCGGTTTTGACATTAACCTGTTGAAAAAGATAAATATTAGCGACGATTGCCACATGGTGAGAGCAATGCAATCCTACCTTGTCTGGAAGCGGAATGACCGGCGTGAAGTAGGTGTTGTTCTCTTCCTCGGCACATTCCTCACCATCCGCGTCGCCTTCAGCATCATCGTTGGCGGACCCGGTGCTCAATGTACGACCAGGGCTTTTGGGTTTTCCGGGTGATTTGGGTTTGAAAACGAACTCGAATGTTGATTTTTCCGGAGCTGCCACCCTAGTCGATTTGTCTTCCGTGGGTTTTGTAGGTGAGGGTCCAAACGACATGGTAGGTTTCGGAAGTTCGAACTTGAAGGTGCTGGTCGTGGTCGTAGTGGTCACCGTAGCGCTGGTATCTGCTGAAACTGTACCAGATGTAGTAGTCGTGATCGGTTTGGCAAGTGGCGTTCCGAAAGAAAATCCAGAACCTGGTGCCGATCCGAAACTGAAACCTCCTGTAGTGGAGGTGGTGGTGTTTGTAGCGGCCACAGCAGGTGTTCCGAAAGAGAAGCCACCTCCCGAAGTGAAACTGAACTTTGGGGTGTCACCTCCCAGAACTCCTTTGTTCTCCTTCTTAGGCACGGTTGAATCTCGGGGCGTGTCACAAGCCACACAGTACAGATCATCTGCTTGATTGTTGATGTAACATCCAGAGCAAGACCACGAACCAGCTTTTGGTTTGAACTGGTCGCCAAAGCCGGAGGAGGCTTGGTCTTTATTGGCGGTGTCAGCGGGTTTGGCAGGTGCAGGGGTGCCTGCGGGTACACCAAAACTGAACTTGAGAGCATCGGCTGGCGGTTGCACACCGAACGTAAACTTGCTTGCGGTCGTTTTCGACAAATTGTCCAGCAAGTTGGTTTCCTTCTTCGGAACTGTGGAATCCTTGGGACTGTTGCAAGCCATACAGTAGAAGTCGTCCGTTTTGTTCGTTACATAGCAAGATTCACAGTTCCACGAGCCGGCTTTAGGTTTGAACTTATCGCCAAAACCTGTTTGTTCGGGTTTCTTGTCCTCTTTTGTTGCGGCCTTTGCCTCGACTGCCGCTTTGTCTTCCATGGCAGCCTGAACCTTCTTTATGATGCTGTGGAAATCTTTACGAATCTCGGCCGTCTTGAAACGGATGGCAAACGTTTCCACAAGCAGCTCACCTTCGGAGTAATCGTGCCCGATCCAGGTCAGTGTGTTGTTCTTATCATTCGGAGAGAATTTCATGTCTTTACTGATCAGTTGATTGCAGCACAGCTTCAGCACTTGTTCCCGCCGCATTAGCAACCGTGCGATGTTGTTATCGTTTTTATTGACCAGCACCCGAATGTTACCAATGCCACGTTCCTTCCATTCTTTAGCCGCCTTGTCCATGCGGAAGATTTTCGCCCGATGCTGGTACACGCAATCGAAATCTTCCTCGCCGGTTATTACTTCAACCAGTTCTGGCAGTGAAATAACGGGTTTGAAATCTGCCGTCGGAACAAAATCTTCCACGACGTCTTCACTGACCGACGTATTTGATGGATTCTCTGGAGTTTTTCCGGGAGCAGGAACAGTGGTGGATGTCACAACTGTCGGCGTAGAAAGTTTGTTCAAACTGCTGAAGATGTCGGTAAAGGATTTTTCGGTTAGCTCGATGGTTGTGGACGAAGTAGAAACAGCAGCAGCAATAGTTGGGTTCGCTCCACCGAAGCTAAACGAGGCAAACGGACTTGGCTTGGCAGGTTCTTTGGGTTTTTCCTCGGTGGTGACTGTGGCCGGTGTTTTCGGTGCAAAGTTGTTGGTAAATGTGAAGCCTTGGAAGGGTGAAGGGGTAGTGGTGGTGCTGGTTGATGTGGTAATGGGTGTAGCGGTTGAAGTGCTGGCTGCCGATCCAAAAAGTGGCTTGTTTGATGGCAAGGAACCGAACAGCGGATTGTTGATAGGAGTTGATGCGACGTCAACCTTAGGGGTACTGAATGCAAAGCTTGGTGTTGTGTTTGGAACGACAGGTGTTTCCTTCTGCATCTTCAGCCGAATGATTTCGTTCTTAGCCTCGTTAAACTTATCGTAGAATTCCTTGGCTATTTCGGCGCTGGCAAAGCGAGCGCAGAATGTTTCCTTCTTCGGTTCCTCGTCGGCAAAGTCCATAGCGGCCCAGGTGTAGCATTTGTTGTTTGTCTCAATTGGTTTGATAATCAGCTCCGGCGAGATCGAGTGATTGGCGGCGATCTTGTGAACCTGATCACGCCTCATAACGATCCTGTACTTGATCGGATCGGATTTACTCTTCAGAATCTTCAGATCGCCAAGACCCCTTTCCTTCCACTCTTTGTGAACCATGCGCAAGAGTTTGGAGCGACCGCAGAATATCTGTTCTTCGTCTTCCTCACCCGTTTTCACTACGATTTCGTCCGGTAGATCGATGATGGGTTTGAAATCCGGACGAGGATCGTACTCGCCGGAAACATTGGCAGCGGTGTCTTCATCGTCGTCCTCCTCTAAGGCTTCGGCAGTGGTGGCTGCACTGATGCTTTGGCTGAACATTCCAGGAGTAATGATTGGCAACATTGCCTTCGGAGCTGGAATTGGGAATTGTGTGTTAATCAGTTGTTGCCCCACCGGGGAGATATTGTCTATACCGGAAACTGTAGCGGTAGATGCCATTGGAGGGGCTACTGAGGCCACGGTTGAAGTATTGCTCATCACGCTATGTTTAATATGCTGTGGTGGAATCGTCACGCTGTAGGTAGGTTGCGTGGTGCCAACGGGAATGTTCGTCGGAAGGGGATCCGAGTTGGTTATTACCACATTGACTGGTGGTGCTTTTTCCAACGGGGCTGCTGTTACAACTACTGGAGCAATCGATGCTGATGGGATCATTGCATTGTAAGTGGAATTCCAGGTGTTTAGAAGAGTAGGTGTTTGAAGAGCTTGTTCGATCAGGGATGATCCTTTCGGAGTGACGACTGGAACCGGTTGCTGGGAAGGAAGAACAACTGATGGAAGGTTAGGTTGTTGTTGCTGCTGTTGGTAGTAAGCAGCCGGCGATGCCTGTACTAGAAGGTTATTGTCCTGGTAAGTGTGCATAGGCGACGCAATTGCTCCCATCTGTCCTCGTCCTTGCTGCTGTTGAGCGTACTGCTGCATGTACATCGGATAGGAAGTGTTGTAGAACTGTTGGTAGGCAGCTGCATTCGATTGTTGCATGGCAACTGCGGCGGCAGCGGCTGCGGCTGCAGGATGCGTCGGTAAACGGCCGTGAGATTGAGCCAGATTCGGCGTTAATTGTTGCAGTGGCGCATTGTAGGCTGCTTGACCTGCATAGGATGGATTTTGCAACTCGTCCAGAATGTACAGGTCATTCAATACGGAAGCAGTTCTGGTCGCTTCATCTTCAGCCGGTTTCTTGTAGATGTTTTCTTCGATTTTAACCAACCTTTCCTGCATGTCACCCACATCGTTCCTAATGTTCAGCACGTCTTCCTTAACGATGTTCAGGGTTTCCATCATTTTCCGGATTAAATTCTCCAGTTCATTTGTCTTGACAGCAAAGTTGGCCGCCTCACGCTCAGATCTGTTCAATCCGGTATTGGCTGAAGAGCTGAACGACTGGAAATGATCACTATCATCTACTCCAACAGCGCCAAACCCGTTAATAGAGGTATTCAGGCTACCATCCTCCAACGACTCGTTGAACTGCAGACGCTTAATTTCACTGTGAACCACAAAGTGCAGCGGGTGACTCTTTTCAATGTACGGCAGTTCCAGATACTTTTGCGTCTGCTTAATACAATCCCGCGCTCTTTCGCTGTAGAACTTTTTCGTCTTTAGGGGGGTTTTACTCGATTCGTCAAGCTTTTTGAACGCCTCAGCTCGGAAGTAAGCGGCAAATGGTAGCGGGATTCCACCAAAATCGTGAGTGAACTCTTCGTACCGTCCATGCTTGAAATAGACACCCGCCAGATAGGTGAGAGCGTCTTCGGCTAACTTGACCGCTTCCTGGCTACAGTCGAACGATTCAATGCCATATTTGAAGAAGACGTTTGTACTGCTGAACGAAGCTTCGTTACGCATTTTCCACAGCAGCACGCCCGCCTTGTACACGCATTCCGCCCTCAGTTCCAACTGGCGGCGCTCCTCTGGCAGCATCGATGCGCTTACTCGCTTGGCAAGAATCTTTCCCAACTTCAACAGCACAATCACGTCCGTTATCGGTGTTCCCGTACCTCGAACGGCTTGAATCCCATGCTGTAGGAGCTGTTTGTTCGATGTCATGTTTTCCATTTTGGTGTTCTTGAAAACTGCACATGCGGCATTCCACCAATCGGACTTGTTCTCTTCACAAAGCGTAGGAATCATGTTTGGCGCAGGTAGAATCAGCGGTTTACCAGTATCGATCTTATCCTGGTATTTCTTTTCGCCTTCCAGGCAGCTCTTGGCTACCAAAATCGAACAATAGAGAAACGAATCCACATCCAACTGGTTCAGGGTTTCAACGCCGCAGTTGTCCAAATTGTTGGTGGATAAGTTTAGCCCGTTGAATGACTTACATTTCAGTTCCGACAAATCTTCTATGCCCAGACCCAGATATATCTGATAGGCCAGCGACGACGGAAATAGGTACTGGGCAATCTCCAGATACATTTGCATGTGCTCCCGCTTCGGAAGCACATACTGCGGTTCACCAGTGGATCCGTACTGCATGAAGTAGGAAGAGGACATTTTAGACATCTGATCCCCGTTGTTACTATACAAGGCGCGGAATACGTTCTTCTTCCAGTTGACGTCGGAACAAAACTGACGGACCTTTTGAAAAAAAAAAATCATAAATAAATCACTCTAAAATATAATCAATTAGGACATCTCACCTGATTTACCAGATCTTCCGCCGTGTTCCAAATCTTGTTCTCCGTGACGCTTTGGATCTGTGCGATTACCGACGCGTCGACGCTCTCGTCAACGCACGACAAAATGGTACCCCCGGCCTGGCAGCATCGGAAGGCGGCTTGTTTGTTCCAGTACGCCATCAGCTGCCGGGTGGCGTCGTTGGTGTGCTTGAGCCACGGTTCGTCCGAATCCGGAACATCGCACTGGTACGCTAGAAACAACAACGGTAAACATTTGGCCGTTACATCGCGAGCCTTGCCGCCCTGTTTTTCATGTTTGAATAGCAACGACGACGAGTGCAGCAGCAACTGTCCACGGTAGTGTCGGAGAAATTCTGCAGCGAGATCTTTTTGCGGGCATGCGTTGCGTCCCTTGTCGGCAAATTTGTGCAATGTTAGATCAAGCTCGAATAGAAGAGAAGCTATTTCTTTCATGTTGCTTTGTTTGATTGATTGAAGCGAAGAATCGGCCAGCAAGTTGAGATAAATTTGACGATCGAGAGTCATCACCGACAGAAGCCAGTAGCTCCAGTTGGACTGGAATGAGGCAGCATTTACTTCCGCGTACTTGGTCAACATTGAAGAGATTGCATTGGCCCATTCGACCGATTGCTGGAACGTTTCAGTGAACTTGATTTCTATATCGTAGCAATACTTGAATGCATCATCTATTTTTTTCTCGTCGATAAAGTGCTTCACAAGACGTATTCTCAAACCAGGATCCAGTGGGCGGGCAAAAATCTCTTTCAAAATAATTTCCTTGACCAGTTTGTTGTCGGTGGCGACATCTTTGTTGGCCACTTTAAGCTTCAGATTCAGAACGGCTTCGTGGTTGATTCGTTCCGTTTCGGCCAGATCACACCAGTGTTTGGCTTTTGATAGATTTTTACTAAAGTTATCATCGGATAACAACAGTTTACATACTTCCGTTATCAATCCGGTTTGCTTGGAATCGAGCTGCAGCGATCGCTGGTAAGCGGTAATAGCCCTGTCAATTTTCTTCTGCTTCTCATAACACTGCCCAAGCAGTTTGTGCGCCTGGGCACTGTCTTCCTGAACTGACAAGAAACAGGAAAGCCAATGCTCGGCACTTCCGTATTCACCTAGCTTGAAATATTGACGGGCAATCGCCAGTCCGCGAAGGTATTTCTGGAATAAGTAAAGCCAAATTTCGTTAAATATCGGGAAAAGTCTAATTTTAGTTCAATCTGAATCCGTTGTTGTGATTACGATTACTATTTTTACCCCACCATTAACAAACATAACCTCAACACAGACGTCGAATGCCGCTACACTTTCAAGGTCTTTTTTGCTCGGTCCGTCATAATTGACAGTGTCGCAGTAAAATAAAAGTTAAACCAGACCTACAGCGAGCCAACTTTCGACGAATATTATTTCCAAAATTGCTCCCCAAAAAGCAAAATCCCTGCTCAAAACCTACCTCATGTTCCGGCAGCTTTGCGAGAGACGTTTTTACGTGTCGATCAATATCCTTCTTGGTGGAGAACATTTTCACCGATTTCAACACCGGGGGCCCCCTTCGATGTCAGCAAAATTCAAGTCGAAACGAAAAAAAAAAATTTCGCACTACTTTACAGTGAATGGACAAAGGGCTACTTTTCTTTCCACCGAAAATCACTATACGTATGGAATAATTCCTTTTTAATCACAAATTTACGAAACTGTACGCACGGAAGCGAAAAATCCTGCTAATTTCTTTCTTTTCCCGTGTTTTGCTCTGACGACGGTGTGGTTTTTTCGTCCGAGTTTTCTTGCGATGCCTCCTTCACTTATGGCGGTCGTTTTCGGTTTGAAAGTCGTCGTTTTCGTGAATAAAATGAACACTCACGAGGGAGAGCCGCCGGTTCGATCAGATAAATTCTCAACCAACAATTGAAAAAGGCATATCAGCATTTGTAAACAAAACTTTGTAAGTCCTTTTATTGCAAAGCGTAGGCTGCTTACGCAAAAACCAGCATCATCGGGTAGGGGCAACTTTTTCCTATAAGACGATGCCATTGATTTACGTGGGCGGCCTTCGATTAGCAAGGAAAGGGCTTACAAATTTTTGTTTTCAAAAAAATTATAGGCTCTTTTCAATTGTTGGATTTGACAGATAATCTGAAATGAATTTTCGAAGATTGAAGGAACGCGTTCGTGATTTGGATGCACTGTTAACACGCAAATTCAAACAACTCAAAAATGGGTGAAAATATACCTCGTTTAGTAATTATATATAAACACTCCACTGTTCCATTTGGTGAATTTTTATAAATTTGACGCTTCGAAAATCAATTAAGATGTTCAAAAATCCCTCTGTTGTTGATCTTCCTATTTTCGAGAAGGTGGTTGTCAAAATTTATTCTTGGTATGTCAGAAATAAGTCTTGCACAATAGTATATACAAAGAAGAATACTAATACCACAAACGAAGTTACAGACGACTTTCTCCGAAGAAATGAATTAAAATAATGTGGTTCTCTGTAATAGAATTTTAGTCCACCTTCCGCCCCTCACCGCCAGGTTCGCTAGTATTTTTGTTTTGAATTAATTCAAGTTGGTTTTGTGTGCAATGATCTGGCAACTCGTGTCCTTGCTCGTGTTGACGGGGTGCTGTTTTCTCACTCATCGAAGGAAATTTTGTTTAGAGTGAGAAAGTAAGGAACAGTCAGCGCGGGAGCCGTGTGCGTTACTATAGGTGCGGCAGAAGGAATGTAGTCGACTCTGTCGTTCTCACGGTGTTCTTACGCATGATCCAACGTTTCGTCACACTAGATTATGCATAAGAACGTCGTGATAATGCAAGTGCTGGCTTGTTTCCTTCTGCCTCACCAATCACATTGATCACAGCACATACGATTCTCCGTCGGTTCGTGGTGCATTGTGCATTCTTTGTGCCATACCACCAGTCCAAACACTAGAAGTTTTGGAAGGTTCTCCCTCAGTACCTGTAAGCAGTGTGATACCAGCTGACATTCGCATGGGTAGAGAAATCCGGAACATTTTCTCGCTTTTGAGCATCAACGTCAACCCGGTCTCGAATCGCATTTCCGCTTGAGGTGGCACCGTTGGCAGTAATCTATTGCGCCGTGGGAAAGACCTGCTTAGTGCACTAGTGCTGGAAGATTCTGCAAGTTCGTCATTAAAATTAAATCAACTTTTCTTCGCTGTAACGTACTCCGGACCTGGTGGAACGTTTTCGTGGGACGGTTTTCGACCCAAAAAGCTTCAGTTTGAACTGCTTTCCAAAAGATTTCTGGGCAGGCGTCTTGGGACGCACGATCTCCACAGAGGCATCCGTTAGCGTGTTCGTGTCGGAGCGGATGACATGTTTGATCGGCTGCAATTCTACCATCGATTTTCGGCCCTGCTTTTTGTTTAACTTCACACGATAGTTGAAATCGAACACGGTCGACGATCCGGCGGAGGATGCTTCGTCTTCATTCTCCGAAGAAGTCAACGATTTGATCTTTTCCGAGCTGAGCTTCTCGAGCCTTACGACCGGTTTGACTCGAAGTAATTTTTCGACAGAAGTTCGTCGTGGCAGTGGAATCTTCTTGACCAGTTCCTCCAGACTGATTTCTTCGTTTCGAAGAAACGAACGAGGAAGAACTAGATGAAGACGTGGACAGCCGTCATTTCGACGTTGGTTTCTTTCGTGTAGAAACCAGATCGGAATCGCTGTCGTCACTGTCTATTGCGGTTCGTCTTTTCTGAGATTTGCGTTTGGTCGTCAATGCAACTGACTCTTCAGAATCTGAATCATCCGATTCAATCTGACGTCTGCCACTAGATCGGCCCCTAGAACTCCCCTCTCTGCTATCGTTACCGGCTTCCCCCATCTTGCTGCTTCCACTCTTCGGGAAGCCTCGGCTAGCTTCAAAACCGCTTCCGGCGTCTTTCGGACAATCGGACGACAAAAGGTGAAAACATAGTTCTTCGAGGGAACCTCCATGCACTGATCTTGGCGACAAGTCGAACCGCACGTTGCACAAAGGATCAGATCCCAACGCTTGCAATCGTCGTAATCTCGCCCATACCGACAGCGACACTCTTCAGCGTCACACTCCGAAGGACGTTCCAACTGATCGTTGAATACATTCGGTTCCAGCTCCCACGAGGCATCCCTCGAACAATTAAAATAAAATATTCAGTATTCAAATACCGATTCACCCACCTCCGCCGCTTCGCTTAATTTTCCGGAATATAAATGCCACGCTGATGGATCTGCTGACTAAAGTCGTCCTTGTTGCACAAAGGGCAATTGAAAAAGTACCTCGCCGATTGGGCAAACTGTGCCACGTAGCTCCGATGGAACCAGCCATTCTGACAGCACAGGTCACGAATCGATTCCAGCTTCCTGTACGGTCCCATATCATCGTAGCAAATCCCACAGGCTTCGGTCTCGGAGTGTTTCACCTTATCCACCAGCGCTACGTGCTTATCGCACCACGACTGGAACGTTTCCACGTAATGCGACAGGCACTCATTCTGCATCCCACAAAGCGTATGGAATGAACGGAAGCACTTCTTCGCGCAACACCAAACGTTTGCATACCGTTCCTTGCAGATGTAACACTTTTGTCCTCGGATACGAGCTTCCTCATTTCTGATGTCCTCCTCCATGAATCCGAAGATTCCCTCCTCGTCTTCAGGTAACAAGGTACGCGTAGCAGGTATAATGACTAGTTTTGCCACGTCTAGTAGCCCGGTCCAGAATAGAGCATCGCACCATCGTACCGCAATCATGCTCAAACGCGTGACATACAGCATCTTTAGCCGAAATAAATAATAAATTGAACAAAATTGGTTTCATCCGATCCTCCTTCATTCTCACCATCTCACCTTCAGCACGGCGATCGATTCGATGGATTTCGGCATGATTTTGGAGTAAATTTTCCTTCTTCAGATCGCCCTCGTCGAGAGCTTTCAGTTCCTCTACGGAGGAGCAAATGCATACCGAGTATGGCCACCCGAAAAAAAAAAATATAATAAAATAACGAAATTACAATGATTTTTACGGTTGAATTTCGGGCACATTATAAATTTATTGTTAAATTATTGGACGGATGAAAAAATAAATTTCGTTTTAAAAGATACAATTCTCAATGAAAATTAATTTGATGAGATCAAATTTGTTCGAGAAAAATCAGTTTTTTTATTGTTAAGATGCTTAACAACCCCCCTTTTTTACTGTACATTTCTCATATACCGTGATTTTCGTTTTGATTTTATGATAATCAACAAAAATCTCCATTCAAAATCATTGTATTTTTATTGGATTTTTTTTTACGGGCGGGTCCTGTTTGGCGTCCAACAACGATATCTTCTCGGTCGCGAATGACCATGGCTTTGGTTAGGAGCACCGACTGATGAAATCTTTAGCAACAATTGCCGCCAAAAAGCGCGAGTCATTGACAGCTCAACATCGTTTATTTGTAAGCAAATGTTAACCCGATAGAGTTGCCGTGAGGTACACTCGAAAATTTCAAATGTAAGTGCGTCAAACCAAATTTCGAGCCGCTCCGTCTGTCACTTCGTTTGTGCTATTAGTCTGTTATTTGAAATTGGCATCTTCAACCACACACTTAGAAAATAGTACCGAACTCGGTTCAATAACAACCGAGTTTTTATCTGCTGAACGCTCGGTAGTCTTCTCGGTTCAAAAAGAAACAACCGAGTGTTCGTTAAAGTTTCTTTTCCCACAACCTGTCAAACTAACCGAAAAAACTCGGATGACAAAAAGTCAATTCAAGCAGGAATAACCGAACATCGGTTTACCCAAGTATTACCGAACGCTGTCAAACAAACCGACTAACCGGTTGCAATCACGGGATTCGTTTCTTTTTGACAGCGCTCAAATCCAAAAACTTACGATGTTTCGAATCAGAAATAAAACAAGTTTTTTTTAATGAGATGCATGATTTATATTATATTTGTCAGATGTTGTTTTAATGCATAAATATGCTTTGTATTAACTATTGACAACAAACTTGAGAATTATGGCTCAGCTGTGCGGGGGGAAAGAGAGGGTTAACCCCCTTGAGGGAAACAAAAAACTTCTCACACGTCGTGATAATGCCTCCTACATGGAATTCAATCAAACATGCAGTTCCTCCAGAAGTTTTTCCATTTTCAAATCAATTCACCGTGTGACACTAACGAAAAAACACGTCTTGCGAAAAAAAAAAACACAACGCGTACCCGCGAGAAAAAATGGCTGACGATATTTGGTTTAGCTGAAAACCGAGTTTCGGTTAAAATTTCCGTCGTGAAGTTGAACCGAAGTTGTGAGTTTAACGTTTGAGAAAGTTTAGCGAATATTCGGTTCAGTTTACCGAGTTTTCTCGGTTTTCAAGTACCGAACTGGTAAATATCGCTACTTTACCGTACTTTTCGGTTCAGTCTTCATTCCTATCTGTCAAATTTAACCGAAATTTGGGTTTGACTCGGAAAATACGCCTAAAAACATATTTTTACACGAATTCTTCGGTTCGTTGTTGGTAACCGATGTAGTTCGGTAGAAAATTAAACCGACTTCGGTATTATTTTCTAAGTGTATGTGCATGTATAGTAGTTTTGCCAGAATCATAGTTAATTTGTTAACATTCATACACTAATAAAAATTCAATGATTATTTTTATGTGTCCCACACATGAATTTTTGCAATGTGATAAACAAATGATATATATGTGTTGAACACATAGTTCTTAACATAAAATTCATGTGTAACCACACATAATATTCATTTGACTCATAAATTTCATATGTATTTCTGAGTGGATTCTGTTTATGT